TCTCTTCTTCCGTCCCCCTCCTCCTCCTTCCCCTCCCCCTCCTCCTCCTCCTCCTCCTACTCCTCCTCCCCCTCCTCCTCCTCCTCCCCCTCTCCTCCTCTCCTCCTCCCTCCTCCTGCCTCCTGTCCCTCCTCTCCTCCTTCTCTTCCTCCTCCTCCTCCTTCTCTCCCCCCACCTCTCCTTCTCCTCGCTCCTCCTCCTCCCTCCTCTTCCTCGTCTTTCTCCTCCCCTCTGCCCCCTTCCCCTCCTCCCCTTCCTCCCTCTTCCTCCTTCCTCCTGCTCCTGCTCCACTCCTCCTTCCTCCTCCTCCTCCTCCTTCCTCCTCCTCCTCCTCCTCCTCCTCCTCCTACTTGCTGCCGCCACCACTAACCTCTTCGTCCTCTCCTCCCCCTTCTCCCCAGTTTGTTGCCGGCAGCCACTCGGCTCGGCCACTCCTGCTCAAGCGGGCGGCGCACCGCGAGCCGCGCCGTCACCACCGGTCGGTGTGGCCAGGGCCCCAGTAACTTGGAGCCAAGAAGTGGCATCACCATAACAACTCGGAGGGTCCGCGCGATTTCTCGGATCGGCGCGGGGCCCCGCGCGGCGCCTCCGGCGCCGCCCCTGGCGCGCTCCGCGCGCCAGGGAGGGGGGTCCAGCGCCGATCCGAGAGATCCGCGCGGACATCCGAGTTTTTCTGTTTATGCCACTTTTGTTCCCCTAGGTGAGGGGACCGATTCGTGGTAGGGCCCTGGACCCCCGAGTTGGCCAGGATCACGAAGCCAGGTCTGCCGCAGCCGGTGCCTTCTCGGGTGACGGCAGTTCCGGCTGGTGGAACGGGGCGGGGGGGCGTCCCCCAGTACCCATCACTAAACCAGGTCCCACTGAGCCCAGTTCTGCCAACGCCCGAACCAGTCTCAAGCGTCGTCGTCGTCGTCGTCGTCGTCGCATCCCCCTGCGGCCCGTCACTGAACGCAGCGCCTGTGCCGTTCTGTGCCCACGCCAGGGCTGTCCGTGCTGGGCCCCTGCCTTGCGAGGGGTCGTTTTCTGCTCCTCCTTCGCTGTTCCCCCCCTTCCTCCTCGCCAAATGCTTCTTACCCTTGAGATTGACCAGCCCAAAGGCGACGACAGTCTCGGGGATGCGGTCTCAAAAACTGAGAGGATTTCTTCAGATACGGCATCGAGACACGGCGACACCGCTCATAGGGGTAGTCGGCGGCGAACGAGGGTTGGGAAGTGAGAAGGAGAAGGCCTTCTATGAAGATTTGGAAGTTCCCCGGCCTCCTGAGAAGTTGCTCAAGCCTCCCCGGAGGAGACACGGCACCCCTCAGGAGGCGCGAGGGCCTCTGAGAAGTCCCGCCGCCTCCGAGAAGGCCTTCTCGTCCTCACTTCCCCCCCTCGCTCGCCGCCGAGGCAGGGGTGCGTGCTCGGCGGGGCGGCGTCGGGCGGGCCAGCGCCGCGGGCGGCGGCGGGGCGGCACCGGCGCGCCCCCGAGGGGGGGGCCGCCGCCGCCGGGAGCGCGGCCGGGCCCGCGGCGCAGGGCCGAGGCCCCAGGTTCGAACGCCCAGGTTGGAACTCCCCCTTCCTCCTCCTCCTCCCCCTCCCTCCCTCCGCCCTCCTACCCTCCTCCTCCCCCTCCGCCTCCTCCTCCTCCTCATCCTCCGCCTCCTCCTCCTCCTCCTCCTCCTCCTCCTCCGTCCTCCCCCTCCTCCTCCTCCTCCTCCTCCTCCTTCAGCAGCAGCAGTCCAACAGCAGGTTCCCCGATGTCCCCGATGTTTGGACGCCCGAAATTCAGGAGGGGAAAAACACACAGACACAATTAATCGTCGATTCCCAGGAAAATATGGGAAGATATGGGACGTGGGGGGGAAGGCAAAAGCCCAGAAAGTATGGGAAAATAGGGGGCATCCTTTTATTTGTGTGTGTTTATTTGTGTGTCCTGGGGCCCCTTCAGAAATGGGTACGGAAAGAATGGGTAGTTGCGATGTCCAACAGCAGTCCCTGTTCATTTTGAGCAGGACTCGCTGTCCGCGCCGCCGCGGCCTGTGTCCATTCGAGACAGAAGGCCGCCTGCCCAACAGCGGCCGCTGTTGGTTTGGGACAACATTTGTTGTTGGGCATTGTACCCATTCTTTCCGTACCCATTTCGGGCGTCCAAACCAGGTGCGGTCCGCCGCCGCCCCAGCCGACGCGCTGGCAGGCGCGGCCGCGTTCACAAGACAGCCCGAGTCAGGAGCGAAAGAAGGACGTACACGTGCGTATATGAATCCACGCGGGTTTCGAGAGTGCGCATTGCGCGAATGCGCGTATCGCGCGGCCGGTCTCGCGGATCGAAGGGCCGTGTTCATCTACATAGATGTGCGCGTACGTCCTTTGTGGGCTCCCTACGGAGGGAGCTCCTCATTCGCAAGACAACCAGAGGAAGCTCCAGAAGGCGCCAAAGGCAGGCCCAGCGAGGCCTGGAGGGGGCCCCATGGAGCTCCACGAAGGACGATTGTGATGGGTCCGTGAGTTCTCCTAGCAAGCAGCGGCCTCTAAGCGAACGGCGAGAGCGCTAAGAGAACTGGCACGGAACTGCAACCATCCGGGGAGTGGACGGTGCGGGCCACACCTGCAAAGGAGGCAGTTCATGATGCGTCCAAGAAAGGGGGGGAGCGGTGACCAGATCGGCGGCGAGCGAGGGAGAAGAAAGAGGCCTTCTCAGAAAGCGGCGGGGCTGCTCAGAACCCGTCGCGTCTTCTGTAGCCTGCCGCGCCAGCGGCTTGCGTAAGCCGCCGCGCAAGGTCGCTGCGTCATCTCGCGTAAGACCCGTTCCCGATCGTCGCCCAGGTGGGGTCGGGGAACAGGCCCAGCTGGATGCTCCCGTGTAGATCGTTTCCTTCTTCCAGGGGCCGCTCGAAGCGATTTTCCTTCCAGCCCCACCTTTGCCCCAACCTGACGGGCTGAGGCGCCCTCTGGGCGCGTGGCGGCTCGCACCGCTGGCTGCCCGCCGTGCCACGCCGGCACACCAGCCGTCGTTAGGAAGGCGGTATTGTAGTGGACGAGGCGCAGGGGGCGCAGAGCAATCGTGAGGAGGAGGAAGAGGAGGAGGAGGAGGAGGAGGAGGAGGAAGAGGAGGAAGAGGAGGAAGAGGAGGAGGAGGAGGAGGAGGCGGAGGAGGCGGAGGAGAGGAGGGAGGAGGGGGGCGGAGGAGGGTGGAGGAGGAGAAGGAGGAAGAGGAGTAAGAGGAGGATGATGATGAGGAGGAGGAGGAGGAGAAGGAGGAGGAGGGAGGAGGGGGAGGAGGAGGAAGAGGAGGAGCGAGGAGGAGGAGGAGGAGGAGGAGGAGGAGGAGGAGGAGGAGGAGAAGAAGGCGGTGGAGGAGGAGACAGGTGATGACGGCACGCCGACGTCTTGTGCTTCTTGATCTCCGGCTCCATTCCTGGATCCCATCTCTCCGACTCTGGCTCCGTCTCCAGCTCCCAAGTTTGAGACTGCCATGTGACCATACGAGTGTGAAGCATCAACGACGGCACCACTATCCACGACACGCACACACAACGACTCCGACAACAAGGATGCCTCTCCCTCATCCCTCCCTCCCCTCTGATGCACCTAATTTTTCATATGTGTCTCGAATGCATGTTTCACCATACGCCACAGTATCTTGGCGCCACGGCGCCACCGCTCCGTTCCCAGAGGGACCGCGCCCCGGCGCGCACGCGAGCGTCCGTCCGTCCTTGCTGATCGCCCTTCGCTCCGACGCCTTGGTGGCGTTCCTCGTGCGCGCTGTCGCCTCTTCCTGTGACGCGGACGCTCAAGTCTCCTGCGTGGAGCTTCTGAGGCAGCCTTGGCTACTTCACCGCGCCAGTGGTGCGGCCGCGCCTGCTGCCGTTCCCGTCGGCTACGGCGGCAGCCCCCGCGACGAAGCCGACGACGACAGCCCCTGCCCCGCCGACGCCGACAGCGACGGCCTCGCCGACGCCCGCCTATTCGGCGCCGCCGACCCCGCGCCCGCCTCGCCCAGAGGCGCGGCCTCCACGGCTGCCGCCCGTGCCGCCGACGACCAAAAGCCCCCCCCCACGACGGCCACGCCAGCTCGTAGATTACCACCCCCAGCTGTGGATCCGCGAGCCGCCGCGCCGCGCGGTGCCGCCCACTTCCACGACGGCGGGTCGAGGACGTTCTCTCCCCGCCCAACAGGTGCCCCCCCCCCTGTACCCATGCCGCCTTCTCTCCCAACAGGTGCACCCCCCCAACATGTGCACCCCCACTTCTTGGAGGTCGATAGGCCTTCACCCTGACACGTCGATGAGCGAATTGGCCGTTTTCGGTTCGCGAGAGGGCGTCGCGGCCGTAGTTTTGCGGGTCCAAGTCCGTCGGTTTCGGTCCCAGGTTGTTTTCTTTAAGGGGAGGTTTACTAAAGGGAGGTTTGTCCACCGCCGAACTTCCGACGACGGCTGGTCGAGGACGTTCTCTCCCCCCCGCCAGGTGCACCCCCCCTGTACCCATGCCGCCGCCGACGGCGGCTGTCTTCCGACGGCCGCCGCGCCCGGCTCGCTGAGAGACGAGGCCGCACCTGCTGCATGCCAGCCGCTCCTACTGAAAGGGGCGTTTTTTTTTTTTTTTTTTTTTTTTTTTTTTTTTTTTTTTTTTTTTTTTTTTTTGTTAAAAAAAAAATATTTATATATATATATATATATATGTATTTCTTCTTCTTCCCTTTATGTTGTTATTATGTGGGCCATGACGCGCGTTGTGCCCTCATCCTGTGTGTCCCCAGCACTGCTGTATTTCGAATGGCACCACAGTTTGCCACGGTGGGAGGCGGGAGCGTTTTGGGAGCGTCATGCCCTGCTAAGCTAGCCTGACGCGTTGACAGTGGTCTTTGGGGGTTAACGGATTTGGCCAGGCCTGATACGGCCTGGTAAGATCTGTTAAGCCTTGCTAAGCCTTGCTAAGCTTTTCCAAGCCTTGCTCAGCCTTGGTAAGCTTTGTTTAGCCCAGCTAGGCCTTGCTGAGCCTTGTTCAGCCGTTGCAAGCTTTGCTCACCCCTGCTAGTCCTAGCGAAACCTAGAGTCTTGCTGAGCTATGCTGAGCACTGCTGAGCCCAGCTCAGGCTTGGAAAGCTTTGCTCAGCCCTGGTAAGCCCTGGTAAGTGTGTGTGTGTGTGTGTGTGTGCGTTTGTGCGTTTGTGCGTTTTTGTGTGTGTAAGTGTGCGCGCGCGCGTGTGTGTGTGTGTGCCTGTGTGGGTTCTCCCGTGCCCCCCAAAAAATCCGGCGGCCGTCCAGATTGTTTGTTTTTCGTGTGTGTGTGTGTGTGTGTGTTGGGGGAAGAGCACCCCCCGACAATCTATAAATCTGGACGACCGCTGCGTTTTTACTGTTTTTCGGGGGGTGGGGGGAGAGGAACATCCCCCCCCCACACACACGCACACACACACACACACGCACACACGCTCACACCACCCACACACACAAACACACGCACACGAACAGAACACAGGGATAATAGTACGACAACACAGAGTGAAAAAAGGGTGTGGCGGAACGCATGCTCCACAATTGCATGCCCTTCCTCCCCCTCACCCATCCTTCATTCACATCTCAAACGGCGACGATGCCATCGCCGTCGTCTTCCTCGTCGTCGTCGTCGCCGTCTGCGTCGTCGTCGTCGTCGTCATCGTCGTCGTCGTCGACGCCGTCATCGTCGTCGTCGTCCAGCTCCACGGACGTCTCTCTCGCGAGCTCTCCCGAGGCCCCCCGAGACCCCTCCGCAGACCCCTGGGGGCCCCGGAAGGGCGGCGCCGATGTGCGGCCCGGACGCCCGGGTCTCCGCCTGCTCCGAGCCAGGTCCTCCCCCTCCTCCCCCTCCTCCTCCTCCCCCTCCCCCTCCTCCCCCTCTTCCTCCTCCCCCTCCTCTCCCTCCTCTCCCTTCTCCTCCTCCTCCTCCTCCTCCTCCTCCTCCTCTTCCTCCTCCTCCTCCTCCTCCTCCTCCTCCTCCTCCTCCTCCTCCTCCTCCTGCTCGAGCCAGGTCCTCCCAGCTGCCGATGTCCCTCGTGCAGCCCCCGCCGTCGCACGGCGGCCTGTTCGCCTGCTGCAGGCGGCGGAGGCGGCCGCCGCTGGCGGACGGCTTCGAGCTCGTGTAGCGGCGCCGTGCGCCGCTGGGCAGGCGCGTCCTGCGGCAGCAGCCCCCCCCCCCCCCCGCCCCGCGCGCCTCGGAGACGAGCGAGTCAACCAGCGGAGGAGGTTGGCAGATCATGGGTCTGTGGCCACGTGGGAGGGGCGGTGGAAGGGCGGGTGCGTGGGCGGGGGAGGTGCCTTCGACGCACGCTCTGCGACGTGTCGAGGACGCCTTCGGCGAGTCACCGCCCCCCCTGCCCTTGTGGAAATAGGCAGTGAGCTGGGAACCGATAGTCTGTGGAAAACAAGATTCGAACAGGGCCTCGATCCAGCTCCTGGAGAGGTCCTCGGAGGCCGTCCTGTGGCTGTCTTGAGGACCTTGTCGGGCCCTCTTGGGCCTTTTTGGGGGCTTCCTGAGGTACAATCCTGGGCTACATTTGGGCTTTGCTGGGCCGTCTCAGGGCGCCCCTGGGGCAGCAAAGGCATGACATCCGACCAGAATCTGCAGGACGCCCGTCTCCAGGACGACGAACATGGCCTCCAAGACGGCCTCCTCCTCCTCCTCCTCCTTCTGCTCCTCCTCCTCCTCCTCCTCCTTCTGCTCCTCCATACCTCCCTCCCTCCTCCTTACTCCTCCTACTCCTCATCCCCTCCTCTCCTCCTAATCTCATCCTCTCCTCCTCCTCCTCCTCACCCCTCCCTCCTCCTCCTCACCTCCTCCCTCATACTCAATCCGTCCTACTACACCTCCTCTCCTCTCCTCCTCCTTCCCCATCACCCTCCTCATCATACTTTATAGCTCACCCTATTCCGCCCCCCCCTCCCTCTCCTCTCCTCCTCCTCATCCTCCTCCTCCTCCTCCTCTTCCTCCTCTCCTCCTCCTCCTCCGTACTCTTCCTCATCCTCCTCCTCCTCTCCTCCTCCTCCTCCTCCTCTCTTACCTCCTCCTCCTCCCCCCCCTCCTCCTCCTCGGCGAGGCAGCCCAGGCGAGCTTCTAGACGGCCCCCGCGCGGGCACTCCCGCGCGGGGCCCGAGCCTCGTCCGAGTGTCGCGGGCCTGGAGATCGGCACCCGCACCAATGATCGGCGGTGCGCATCCACCAGGAGGGGAAAAACTCACAGACACAATTCATCGTCGATCCCCCGAGAGATATGGGGAAATATGGGACGTGGCGGGGAAGACAACCTCCTAGAACATATATATATATATATATATATAGATACTTATATATAAATATGTATATATATACATATATGGGAAACTGTGTGGGGAATCATGTTATTTGTGTGTATTTGTTTGTGCGTCCCTGGGCCCCTTCCAATCCACCGAGGGAAGAAGATCCCGATCTCGGTGATGGTGGTCACATTCTGGCTTCCAAGGTGACCGAGAGATTGCCACCAACACCGGAGTCTAGGATCATCTTCCCCCTGCGGAGGCAGCCCCCTGTGTTGGTGTTGGTGCCCATTCCCAGGCCTGCAATCATTGGAAGCAGGCCGACATCGGGACCTTTTTGCGTTGCGCAGGGGGCCCAAGTTCGGGCCATCGTCGCCTAACACTGGATCCTGGGGCGCGCTCGAAACGGCGCCGGAGCGTGCATGCAGCAACCGGCCCCTGTCCGGCCCGAAACGTGGCAAGGGGAGATGGCCGGATGATGCCTGGCGGGGCCGAGGTCGTCAACGCCTCAGGGTTTGCTGCGTTTCGAAGTTTCCAGTCGTACAGTCGGGGCCTTAACCGAAATAAGCTCAAGGCAACAACAATTCAAGACGAGAGAGAGAGAGAGAGCAGAGCAGAGAGCATGCATGCGGGCCTGCCCCGCAAACGTCCCATCACCGCCGCTGTGGGCAGAGAAGACAGAACTGCAGCGGCAAGCCAGGACCCTGAAAGCGCTGAGGCGCCAGAGCCCCCGTGGGCCGAGCCTCAGTATACTGCCGCCTGGCAGCGGCAGCTCACCTGAAGCGCGCCGAAAACCGACCTTAGCAGAAGCCTCACACAGGATTTGGAGCAAGCATCCCTGCTCAGGCCCCCTGCAGCTCGTCGTCGACGACCGCTCCCACGCCTCCCACGAGGTAATCCCGCAGGCGCCGCTTGAGCTGCTCCTGAACCCATAAGAGGCCAAGCCTCTGGGCCTCAGAATCTGGAGCCTCAGGCTCCGCCTCCTTCTCGTGGTGCCACCCAGGCCTGTAGAGGTCCCGCTGCAGCACCATCTCCTTGCGCTCCTTCTTCCTCATTCGCTTCACGTGGTTGCGCACCGCCTTGGCCGCCGCCAGCACGGCAGGCGGGCCCGCTTCGTCGTCCGTGGAGACCTCCTGCTTGTCCAGCGCGACGCTCAGGCACTCCAGGGTGGAAGCGAAGCCGCCGTCTGCCCCAACGCCTGCTGCTCCTTCTTCCAAGCAGGCGCCAGCGCCTCTTCTGGAGGGTCCCCGTCGACGGCGTCGGCGCCGTTTCCACCGCTGCCTGCCTCCAGGGAGGCAAACTCGAAGGCGGAGGCGGGGTCGGTGAGGCCGTGCGCACTGGAGCCAGACCCAGTGCTTGAGCAATCTCCTCCTGCCGCTTGCTGATGCCATCCAGCCTGCGGTGCAGGCGGATCTGCTCCGCCGATGGCCCCTTCTGTGCCGACGTGCCGGCCCGCCGAGCCACCTGCTGCTCCGACAGCCGCGAAGGTGGCATCGCCTTGGCCGGCACGCGTTCCTTCAGTGCCACCTGCTTCTCCCTTGCCAGCCTCGTCTGCTGATGCAGCGATGGCAAAGGGGGCGGTGGCAACTGATACTGCGCATTCTTTGCCATGCGGGCTCTCACCCCGATTGCATAGAAACGCGCCCTGATCTCCGCAAGGGTGGCCTCCGAGACGGGGGAGGAGGCCCTCGGCAGAGGACTCCTCGATCGGCTCCTTGCCGATGCCTTGAGCTCCGCCCTGGCCGCCGAGGAACGGGAGGACCGCTCCCACGAGCTCCTCGATCTGCTCCTTGCCGATGCCCGTGATGATCCCTGCGGAGCCCGCACCTGCGCCGCCTGCTTTCGCACTGGCGAGCGAAGGCGGAGCCTCAGGGGTGATGGCGCCACGCACCCGCGGCTCGAGGACCGCTTTGCACTCCACGAGCGGTGCCTCGTCCTGCTCAGCGCATCCCGCCTCGGACTGGCGCTGGAAGAGGGCGAGACCCTTGACTTCGGCAGCTGTGAAACACCTAAGGAACGCGGAGCCCCTCCCCAACGAAAAGGGTTCCTTCTTCAGGGCCCCGACTTAGCCGAATTTGGAGGGCAGGACGAGGCCCCGCAGGGGCCGAAGTGAAACAAGCATGCGGCCCCGAAGCGCGCTGGGAGCGGCATGAGCTCCGAGGTCGTCCTGGACGCCGCCCAGAAAGGGCAGATGCCGCAGCGGGCGGCGGAGTCGCGGAGTCCCCTTGGGGGGTAGCGGGCGGGGCGGGTGGATTCAGGAGGCTTGCCCCGTTTCGCCGACAGCCAAGAGGAGGGTATGTACTCCAGATTTCGTAAGAAAGGGGAGGGGGTCACAACTCTCTCAGACGAGAAGTTTTAGACCCCCCCAGACCATCCACGAAAGAGCGGCCCTTTGCCCAGACCCCCCCCGAACCCTCAAGACAGCTCAAATCAGACCCCCCCCCAAATGTGACCCCCACCACTTTATTGTGGAATCAGGAGTATGTTCAGGCGATCGTGAACTTGTGGAAGTCGATTAATGGAGAGCAAGCGTGCTGACACATACTTTCCCAGATGTCTAACACATGTATTAAACATGTCTTAAATATGCAAAAACAGGTTCGGAGCAGTTTCCGAACATGTTCTACACATTTTAAACACATGCTTACTTCAATGATAGGATTGTTAGAGTGTCCATTGTCATGGCATCCACACTCGCAAACATGGATCGAGAGGGCGTGGATTAGCGACGGGTCCCGTTTCCGGAGGAAAACGCGGACTTCCGCCGCCGAAGCAGGCGGCACCGGCCGCATTTCGGGGAGGGCACCTCCCCCGAGCCATGGATTTGGCGACCGCGCGCCAGATCAAATCCACGGATCGCTAGTCCATGTTTGCGCGCCCCCGATGTGTGTAGCCTTCGATTTCGTGTGCGTCGCTTGTCGCTTCCCTGGAATGGTCCTCCTCCTCGTCCGCGTCCGTTGCGGGGCCTCTCGGCGGCTCGGAGGCCCAGGGGGGGGCAGGATCCTGGGGCCGCTCGGGGCCCTCTGGGGCTTTGGGGGGGGATCTCCAGGAGACATTTTCGGGGTAGTGGTGGCTCTCTTGTGGGGGAGGGCTCCCAGGGTCCCTGCGAGGCACCCCTCTTGGGCCTCGCGTTGGCGATTTCGGCCGTCTTGGGGTCCTCTCGGGCTGTCTTCGGGCCATCTTGTGGCGTCCCCAGGCCTCTTGGCGGCCGTCTTGGGTTTGCGAAGAGAGTCCGAGAATGCGAAAACGCACAAGTCATACAAACATCGATGGAGCAATTGCCTCTTGAGGCCTTATGGGTGTCCTCGTGGGGCGTCTCGGGGATGTCTTGGTGCGTCTTGAGGCAATCTTGGCTGTTCTCGAGGCCTCCCAGGCGTGTTGGAGTCCTTCTGGACCCGTGTCAGAAGGGGTTTGTGGCATCTTGGCGACCACGGGGAGTGGATTCGGAGGTGGCGAGGGCCCCGGAGGTGCGTGGACGAGCTCATGCCCCCCTCATGCTCTGGGATTTTGCGCCCGGGGAATGGGCAAGGGGGGGGGAGCACAGCTAAATGTCTCGCACGCCTTTTCACCCACGGCACGCGGGAGTCGGCTGAGTCTGGCGTGCCGAAAGCCGCCTTGCCCTAATCTCCTTCCTGCGGTAGGTTCGTTTCGTGTCGACCGGCGGGCCATCCTCAGGAGGGGGAAAAACACACAGACACAATTAATCATCGATTCCTCGAAAATATGGGGAAATATGGGAAGTGGGGGGGAAGACAGAAACCCAGAAACTATGGGAACATGTGAGGGATTATTTTATTTGTGTGTATTTATTTGTGTGTCCTGTGGCCCCTTCACATCCCGCCGCCGGCCTTCACCGTTGAACGCCGGCGGCGACCCATCGGAGGCGACGACAGGGGCGAATAGCCTCGGGGAGAGCGATACATGTATTCAGGGGCGCCGATGACCTATGTCTTCGACAAGGCTCCCGGGCGAATGCGTGTCATGCCCCGCCCCCTGGGCTATTCGCCCTTATCGTCGCCGCCGAGCCCAGACTCGTCAGGAGGGGAAGAAACACACAGACACAATTCATCTTCGATCCCCCAGAAAAGATGGAAAAATATGGGCATTGGGCGGGAAGACAAAAAAAAACCCAGAAAATATAGGGAAATATGGGGAACCCTTGTATTTGTGTGTATTTATTTGTGTGTCCTTGGGCCCCTTGAAATCGGTCGATGTGGAATGAGCGGGCGCTGCGGGAGCGGCCGGTCGTTCCAGCTGGAGCAGTCCCCGCGGCGTCGGGGAGCCCTCCGCCCGGGCCGGCCCGACAGGGGCCTGCCGTGCTCGATGCTTGCACCCTCGTGCTCGGGGCGGCCAGCACGCCTGCCAGAAGTCTCCGGCGCCCTATGGCTGCGGAAGTCGATGAATTCCGAGGCCCGAAAACCATCACTTCACTAATTTTGGGCCCCAGGGCCCACTGAGGCCCCAGGGGCCCCAGATTAGTGAAGTGATGCTTTTTCCCACGTAAGGACCTCGAAATTCATCACTTCACGAAACCGAGCCCAGGACGAAAGTCAGGGGCCGAATTGCTGCTGCGATGCCACATCGGCCTCGTATTAATGGAGAGGAAGCTTGCTGCCAAATAACTTCCAGATGTCTAAAACATGTTTCGAACATGTCTTACATATGTAAAACAACATGTTTGACACATTTTCTGAAACACTTTTCAATTCAATGACAGGATTGTTAGAGTGTCCATTGTCATGGCATCCACAATCCTATGGGCGCGAGCCTCACATCCTGCGCTTGAAGCGTGCAGACATCGCCCTTTGACGCGCGTTGCCCCCTCCCCCCCCCCTCCCCTCTAGCAGCAAGTCGGGCGTGTCCCTCCACAGGAGGAGTTTCCGATAATAGTCAAAAAATAGTCAGGGGACGATTATTCGACTATTTCTGACTGCGTTTGAGCATTTCTTGACTATTTTTTGTTTGTCGTCCGAAGTCCGCCTGTAGGAGGGCACGCCCGACCTAACTCTAGCATGTTATCTCGAAGGGGCGCTCCGGGTTCCTTGGGGTCGTCCTTCGCCGGTTTCGCTGGCGCTCTTTGTTGTTCTTCAGGCACAAATGAGCCCCCCCTGAGGGGCTCCCTTCCTTATTGCATGTGCCTTACGGCAAGAGTTCTGACTGCACTCTGCATGGCTTGAGGAGGAAGAGGAGGAGGAGGAGGAGGAGGAGGAGGAGGAGGAGGAGGAGGAGGAGGAGGAGGAGGAGGAGGAGGAGGAGGAGGAGGAGGTGGAGGAGGAGGAGGAGGAGGAGGTGGAGGGGGCAGGGGGAGTAGGGAGGAAGCTGAGGAGGAGGAAGGACGAGGGGGATGAGGAACGGGAGAAGAAAAGCGATGACCGGTGCGAGGAGAAAGAAGATGGGGAGAGACAAGCTAGGTGCGGGAGCGAGTTATCAAACGTCCTACGCCTCCCTCTCGTCCCTTACCATGGAGTCGATCTCCTCTCTATTCGCACAGGCGGATGTCGAGCGGGGCAATGATCCCGAGAAGGTACGATATGCATGGTAGTCATGGCGTAGCACGGCGTAGAAAAGCACGCGTAACATGAGAGCCAGCGTTGGTCGAGAGCACGATTCATTTAGACAACAGGTTATGAGGGACAGAAGACATGACGCAAGACGAAGCATGTACACGGACTCTTCGGAAACAGCGGAAGCGTGGAGGCCAGAGCTGTAGCTGGAGCGCCATACTGGAAACACCGAATACGTTCGGGGGATCCTATGCGTAAGCAATACGCGGAGGGGGACAGGCTACGACCTCGTTTTTTTCCGGGGAGAGGGGAGAGTCGTATTTACATTGTGTAATTGCCGAGGAGGAGGAGGAGGAGGAGGAGGAGGAGGAGGAGGAGGAGGAGGAGGAGGGAGGAGGGGAGGAGGAGGAGTGGGGAAGAAGGAGGAGGAGGTGGAGGAGGAGAAGGAGGAGGAGGAGGAACAGGAGGAGGAGGAGGAGGAGGAGGAGGAGGAGGAGGAGGAGGAGGAGGAGGAGGAGGAGGCGGAGGAGGAGGAGGAGGAGGAGGATGAGGAGGAGGATGGGGAGGACGCAGGTGGAGGAGGACGACGACGACATCAACGACGACGACGACGACATCAACGACGACGACGACGACGACGACGACGACGACGACGACGACGACGACGACGGCAACGAGACGCTCCCGCCGGTCAGGCGAGCTTGATGCCCATTCTGCGATGGGGCCGCCAAGCCGCGAGTGGTGGGCCGCGCCGCGCCATCGGAGAAAAAGGCTCTCGCGCACTCGTGGGGATGAGCAGCCGCGCCCGCCCCGCGAGGGGATGGCGGGCGAGGAGGTCGAGGATGGATGCTTTGGGGCGGTGCTGGCCCTCCCGTGGGCCTGTGAGGACCTCTGGAGGTGCGGAGTCACTCTCTGAGGCCTGTCGCCGATCCCTCGTCGACGTATCGCCGATTCCAGGTCGATGCCTCTCCCCCTGCCCAGACCCCCGACGCTGTGATTTTTTTTTGCGACGTCGACCCCCAGCTGTCTGGGCCCCTCCCCCGGGGCCGGTCTTCCGTCCTGAGTAGGTTTCTGACGGCCCCGAGGCCCGGGAAGTGCCCCCGGAGGCCGGAACTAATGGACAAACCTCCCGCCGTGGTTTTTCCGCACTGCGAGGAGGTTTGGGTATGCCAGTCCCCCCCCCCCCGTCGTTGCCCCGCGCCCCCGTGGGCCTCCGAGGACCTGCCTGGGGAGGCGCAGGGGCTTCCTCCTGGCGTCCCGGGCAGGCCGAGACGGCTGGGCCCCGCCTCGCAGAGGAAGCCCAGGCCTCTCTGGGGGGGGGCCAGGCTCGGGGCTCAAGAGACGGGGGTCAGCCAGAGCGCCGGACCCTGCAGGATCCTGTAGCGCCAGGGTCGCACTGGCCCGGGTTTGGGTGCAGGATCCGGCAGGATCAATGCTGTAAACATATAACTAAGATCAAAAGTGATATAACAAACAATGATAAGATATGTCGTAAATGGCCTGCAGGATCCTGCAGGCATTGACTCTGGTTTGGGTGCAGGATCTGGCAGGATTTTGCAGGCCTGATTGACCCGGGTCTGGATTGACCCGGGTCAGAAGATCCCTGAGGGGGGCGGGGGGAGGGGGGAAGGCTTCTAGGAAGCACCCTGCTTCTAAGAAGCCTTCCCCCCTCCCCCTACCCCCTTGCGCGCGTCGACCATCGGGGCCTCACGGGGGCCTCGAGAACGCCTCGGGCTGAGACCCGGCATCGCTCGGACGTGCGCGTTTTCGCTTGTTTTTCCTCGGCGAGGGCCATCGGAGAGCATCCTTTTGAGTGGGGCCGAAGGTCAGAGAGTGCCCTCTCCCACAGGACCAGAAAAGGGACGTCAATGTGGTGGAACGCCTTGCCGGTTAGGCCAGCGACAATGTGCAACATCCAGCCATTCGTTCATGTCCAAAGATTTGGCTTGATGCCGGGTGTCGTGCATTAATTTCAGCGTGACCGGACATGCCAGTCGGTCCCTTTCACGTCCGTTTAGGGTGTTTTGCAGACCCGACCCACGAGCCCTGCTCAGAGCATCCTGGCTCATCGAGAATAAAAAACAGAACGCGCGAGGCCGACAGATGCACTGGAAATGGCGTCCGAGCCACGGCAAGGACAGCTCCGCGCCCTTGGGCAGTGGTCGAGAGGGCTGGGGGGGGGGGGGGGGAGAAGGGAGATGTATGGGATCGGCGCCACCCAAACATACGAATACTAATACTATGTGTGCGTCGCCCCCCAGTGGCGACGCGCGTGCCGAGAAGTCTTCTAGTAGATGGTCCGTGGCGGTCAATCTGGCCATCCTGCTTCGGAGTCGATGTACCGTGAGATCTGTGTGCTGTATGCTCGCTTCCTGCGTGCGCCTCCAGCAGCAACATGTAGTACTAGCGTTAAGCCGGGCGTGTCCCTCTACAGGGGGAATATTCAAACATAGTCAGAAAATAGTCTGGGGACTATTTTTTTTTTCGTCCAAAATCCCCCTTTAGGGGGACAGACCCGACCTAATACTAGTGTGTCCTTCTGCGTCCCATGGGAGGGGCATGTGATGCGGGAGGGAGGGGAGGACGGGGGAGGGCGATGCGGAGCGGGGAGGGCCGGAGCGCGGGAGCGCACCCAGAGGAGGGGAGGCATGGGTCAAGCAGCGGCGAAGCGTCCTGGCTCGCCTATAGCCCTACCAGACAATGTTCTAAGAACCTCTTTTGTGGTTCCCGCGTCATGTTCTTAGAGCATTTCTGGCGGCTATGGTCTTGTTTTAACGCATCGGGATCATGTTCTAAGAGCATTGTTATTGTTCTTAGAACGTTTTTGGGTTCTGAGAACACTTCGTGGTAGGGCTGCAGGAATGCCGGGACGGTCGGTTCCTGCTCAAGCAAGGGGAGAGCTCGGGCTGGGGTGGGCGGGGGGAGGCTATGGGAGAGCCGGGGGAAGCTGCGGGGAGGAAGCAGGTAGTCATGCCTCGGCGGCGAGCGAGGGGGGCAACTGAGAAGGAGAAGGCCTTCTCAGAAGGCGGCGGGACTTCTCAGAAGCCCTCGCGCCTCCTGAACAGTTGTTTCTGTTTTCGGGGAAGGCTCAGAGCACTTCTCAGAAGTCCGGGGGACTTCGAGCCTTCTAAGAAGGCACGCCCCCTCACGCTTCCCCCCTGGCTCGCCGCCTAATACCGCTGCCCTTCGCTCGTTTATCCCCTTTTTCGGCCTTCTGGGAGGCCCCCGTCGCCACCGCCGGATTCGGCTCGGGATCCTGGTCAGAACGCTCTCGCCGGCGTCACCCCAACAAACAAAATTTGAATGTGCGTCGCCCCCCCAGGGGCGGCGTGCGCACCAAGAGATTTCACAGTGTATGCGTCGTTATGGACGCTTTCTGGCCACACCTCTCGGGAAACGACTTGCTACAAGATGGGCATGCTATGTGTTCGGATCGGACACACGCCTCCAAGGAGAATAGCTGAGGCGTCTCAAACAGGGCCTTGCCTTCGCGGATCTAAGGAGTTGTCATCTCTTCCTCGGCGTAAGGTGGCGGAAGGGCGGTGGAAGTAAGATGATGCCGCCTCCGCCGGCGGAAGCCGGGGCGGAAGGGCGGCGGAAGGTGGCGAAATCAAAGCAAAGCCTCGGCGGCTCAAGGACGTCGCTTGCTCGGGCGCGCGTGGGGTCGCAACTCCCCACCAGGCAGACTCACAGCATTCCCCCAGCCATGGCGTTGCCTGCTGCTGCATGAGGGAGTCGGCTGGGGAGAACGTCGCCGACGCCTGCGAGGTGAGCGCTGCTCGGCTGCCCGACCGAGCTGAACCGCAATATCCAGACGTTGACGTCAGGTACGTCTGCGGGAGCCAGGGCGTATGGGGAACAAGCGAGCCCATCGACGTGCACTAAGGCTGGTGGCACTGACAGGAGCCTGCTGGTACAAAGGTCAGCATTGGACTCGCTCCTCGATAGCCGCGCTTGCCACTAGCGGCGTGTGTCATGAACCCCATGTCGACCCCTCGCCCTCGGCCCCGTCGGGCCTTGGAATGTTGCGGAAGAAGCGTTCAAAACAACTACTGAAGATTTGGAGCTACAACACGGAGTCCTTGGTGATCATGGACCGTCTTGGGGAGATCCTAAGGTTAGCGCGGGATCGGGAAGTAGCAGTGTGCTGTTTTCAGAGTACCCTCATGTCCCTGAACATCGCGTGGCATTGTGAAGGATTTCGCATACTTCCTACACCTAGGACGTCCCCCAAGGCCAAAGACGGGTGCCTCATAGCTGTCAACAAGCGGTTCTTCGGGATGGATGAAATACGATGTGTTCATGAGTGGGTCCCTGGACGTCTTCAGGGTGTTCGCTTACGTAGGGCTGGCCGTCGACCCCGAGACCTCTACGTCCTCAACGGGTACTCCTGGACCAACGAGCCCCCCAGAGCGCCCCAGGGCCAGACCACTGAAGTGAATGAAAAACACTGGAAGTCCCAGGATGCGTTTTGGCAACAGTGCGAAGACACCATCTCGAGGATCCCCGGCCGCTCAGCCCTGGTTTGGTGCTTAGATGCCAACGCATCAGTGGCCCCATCACCTCCTAACACAGGCTTCGCAGGCTCTCGGAGGTCCCTCAGCAGGACGAACCAGAATGGCCACAAGTTCCTGTCGGTACTCCAGAACCAAGGATTGGCAGCCCTCAACACTTTCGGCAAGGCCTCTCGCTTCAACTCCACGTGGGTCCACACGGACGGGGTGAGCTGGTCAACGATTGACTACGTGTGCGTGCGTCTTCAGGGAGGCTACGGCCGCGCGAGCCGGCCGCTCATTGACCTCCCAGTGAGCTTGGGAGGCTACCGGGATCATCGACCTGTGGAGGCAACGATATATGCTGGACTACGGTGCAAGCTACAACGCCCTCCTTCAGAGCTTCGCTGGAATAGGGACCTCATCATGACAGACCTCAAGGACCTGCAGAGTGCCCAGCAGCAGCAGATCTCCACGATCCCCGAACGGGTCTCACAGTTGTGTGGCACAGTAGATCGGCATCTTCGTGAGCGACGTCTTCGGGGAGAGTGGCAACATGTGTGTGGTCCTGGCCAGGCGTATGGCACGACGTCTGAGTACTTCGATGCCCTCGAGGGCGCTATTGTTGACGCAGCGGTGGACATCTATACCACGCCGCCCACCAAGCAGGCGGCCCCCGCCTTTCCCGATGAGACGTGGGAGCTTATCGCTAAGAAGCAGCTCTACCAACGCATGCTCGCCAAGGCTGTCCTGGGGAGTTGGCTACACAAGACACTGACGAGCCAGTACAAGCACTTTATGCGGTTGGCGAAGAAAGCAGTCCGAGCCTTTCGCAGACAACGAACAGCAGAGCTAGTTGACCAAGCTGAGCAGGCGGACCATCACAACGACATCAGGAAGGGCTACGCTATAATTAGACGTATCGCTCCGAAGCCCACGGCTCCATCTATGACGGTCCACAATCCTGCTACTGGGACGGTATGCTTTGACCACGAGGAGGATATGGAAGTACGAGCCCGAGCCCTGTGTACCATTTTTCAGGCGGAAGATGTCACGGAGTCTGCGCCGCAGCGGCCTCCACACCACGGCATGGGCGTCTTGGGCGACCCCTCGGAGGCCATCACCGTCGAGAACACGATTGAAGCAGTCAGAAAACTACCCAACCATAAGGCGGCCCCCGTTTTGAAGTGGAGCGATCCTGGGAGTGCGTTGTCACCGATGCCGAGACCACAATCAGACGGGGCGGTAGCAGAAATATGGAAGCTTTGCCTCGA